AACAGAACAAATATATATATATGCGCGCGCATATGTATAGTATATACTACATCTGTTTTTAGTCATGCTTGAATTTACATATAGGAAGTAAAAAGAGACTGAGAAGTTTCAGAAGACAGAGAAGCATAATGGTAATATATGTAAGATTCCCATGTTTCATATAAAAACTATAATTTTTGCATTCTTAGACCTTATCATATGTTGAGACTAATTTCCAGGAAATCTATATAACATGGGAAACTAATTATTATTAAAAAAAAAAAAAAAAAACGCATCAGATAATAACCTATTAACCTCCGAGTAACCCCTCCCCTCCTCCACCATGACCGAGTCGTCAAGCAGCACTACCAGCCCCACCACAGACCACTGGTTGCAGCCCCACCGCCACCCTCACAGCCCTACTTTTTTTTTTTTTTTTGCTCTAGTTACGTTATGCTACTTTTAATTTCATGATTTAGTGTTTTTCTTATTTTATCTTACTAAACATAAGCAATAAGAAAAATAAATGTACAATGTATAGTGTTATAATAAACTAAAATCATAAGTTATTATGTAGAGAAAACGGATATTATGAATATAGTCTTGCGGTTATTACACATTTAATTCCAGTATAAAGTGTAGAGTTTAAAATCTCTAAACCACCACATGTTGACTGTCTAAATTAGTCAGCTTAAATAACTTGCTCTTTATTCAGCCAAAAAAAAAAAAAAAAACTCTTTTATCTCACCGACATTTTCCCTCCATGTGATAAATATTCAACCCCTCCCCCCAAAGGAAATATAGAGATTAGTAGTGGTTCATCTTTGATGAAAAGCTACAATATCCATATATAAGTGTGTTTGTGCCTTCTTCACTCTTTTAATATACTATTTTAAGTAAATCTAATATAAATCTGATACACTACTTTAAGTAAATATAATCTAAATTTTTATTGTCGTTTAGTTCACTGATTGAAATTTTTAATTTAAGTTAAGATGTAATTTTATGTTAAAAATTTTTATTGTAGTAAAAAAGTTAAATATAATTATTTTTAAAATTTTTTTATTATAATAAAATTTAAATTTTAAACTCAAATTGATAAAATGAATGTAAATCCGCCGGTGGGTGGGGTTGGGGTTTCATAACTTCGTGGTTACGTAACTTCGCTGGCCAAGTTGATTTAAAACTTCGTATTGCTAGGCGCTAGAATCGTAACGGCTCGCTACTGAAAAATAAAATAAGGAAGAAAAAAGCTTGATGTTACGCTTGACTACCCGCGCGCGGCGTGTCTCAGTCAGAAGATTCAGCTCAGGAAATCTTCCCACACTCTCCAGGCTCACGCCCGAAC